TGCATTGGAGAACTTGCATATCTGAAAATGTATATATTCTACTCTTGTACTTCATTGATAACTCGATTAGATTTTTAAAAGTTGGAGATTTTCTCCCCTCACAGTGTTGAAGCCTTTACTATGTCCAAGTTTCCAGTCTTGTTTTGGGAAATCTGAAGCCTTTTGATTCTTGATCATTTGTATGAAATATACATTTTTAAAAAAATTAGTTAATCTTCTTTCTATTCCTAGTACTGAGATATGTAGTGAAACTATGCTTTGGTGTGAGTTCATTTTTATCTCTTGTATTGTGTATTTAGTGGTCTTTCAAAATGAAAGTGGTCTTTCAAGATGACCATTCATTTCTGTGAATTTTTATTGAATTATTTATTTGATTGTATCCAATTTGTTCTGTTCTTTATTTCTTTAACTGCTACTTTTGAAATGATAAAAATTCTGGGGTGGTTCATATTTTTTTAAATCTCTGTTTCCTTTTGTTTCATCTTGATTCTTTTTGTTCTGTTTTCCAGTAGATTAATTTTTTTCCTCAAACTTCCATGGCATTTTATCATTCCTATCAGCTTTAATTTTTAAAGAGATTTTTTTCTTTCTGAAGTTTTTATAACATCTAATCTTATTTTGAGGGTGTAATTTTTCCATATTTCATTGGAGATATTAGTGCTAAGATTTTTTTTTTAAATAAAGCTTTCTTTGCTTTTCATATTTCTTTCTTCCAGGTTACTTCTTTTCCCAATTTGTTCATTTTGGTCTGCTTTCATGTTAGATAGCCCCAAAAGTTGTATATATTAGGCTCTCTGCCCATAGTTGAATGGCCCATTAAAAAAATTAAAAGTTGTGTATGAATGGGACCTGTCAATCATGGTTTTTATTGTAAGATTAACTGACTGAGTATTTTTAGGCCAAGAAGAGGGATCTCTTTATGTCAGAATGTTTAGGTCTTTTTTTTTTCCTATTGGGTTGGTTAATTACTCAGAGAAGACCCAATATTTGAACTCCAATATCTGATTCCTCACTCTGTGCCCTTATTCATTCAAATTATTAACTTCCAAGTAAGGCTCTATGTCTGAGTATGTTTTATTGTATTATTTCTAAGAAAGTTAGCAATCGAAGTATAGATTTTCTATGAATTCTGATTTCTGAAGATGATTCTTAATTAACCAGAAATTTCCCTCCACTATAATTATAATCTTTGTTGGGGGTTTTCATGGATGTATTTGAACCCCTAGAAGAATATCTGGTTCATAGTAGGTTCTTGGCAAATAATTGCTGAATGAACTAATATTTTACGTAGTACATCAGGCTTTCTCAACAATAGGCAACAGGATATAAAAAAAAGCCTAAGTTTCCTAACTGCCATTGCAGTGCCAAGTGTACACGCTCAGGTTTGACAAAGGCGGTCATGCAAACCAAAATGGATTCAACCCAGGAAGAGAGGTTTCCTATTTATGAAACTTCTTGGGGCAAGAGTATATATCTTTATATTTGAGATTGGAAGTTACTACTGAGATGGCATGGACCAAAAGTTGGCCAGAAAAGGGCAAGTGTAAGAGGGTTAGCTGGGATGCAGAACTGGTATTCTTAGAAACTTGCATGTACAATACTTGGGTGTTCAGATGCAGCATTTTTGGATCTCATTTAGGCATTCATTCTGCTGACTGCTTCCTCCTAGAGACTTTCCCATCTGTTCCTTTGTGCTGACGAGGTCTTTCTGAACTTAGAACAAGATGTCCCCAAGGGTCACACACAGCAGCCTCTTCCCATCCTGACTAGCTTTTCTCCTCCCCCTCCCCCACTGTGTCTACTCGTCATTGGAGTGGGAATGGGGTTGAGAGTTTGATAATGCCGAGTTGACCTTTTTGGAAGAATGAACTATCAGACCAAAAGGACTCAACGATTGGTACAACCACTTGCTCTATGGTATTGCCTTTGTCCTCTATTTTGATATCCGGGCTTCCATTTTCAGGGAGAGGCCAGTGGGGTCGATTTCCTGAAAGAAGCAGGAAGAGAGCAAGACCTCAGCACAAGGAATTCTCGCCTCATGAGCACAAAGCAGTCATTTTTAAAGATAATTAATTGTCCAGAAAAACTTGAACTTATGATAGTCAGCCAACCGTGTTGGGTTTATTTGTCAGATGAGAAAAAAGGGAGCAGTACTGGAAAGTAAGATAACACTGAGGAGTCTATGGTGTTGGAAATACTTAAAGAAGAGTCATTCACTACGCATGAAGGAAAAAATAACTTATCTAGTTACAAGGCTACATCAGCTACTTATACCTGAAAGCGTACTTTGTTGTACATCTAAAGGGCTTTAAATTTTTTTTACATGATTGTATGTTAATATTTACATAATGTATTCTGTTAATATCCTAGAGCAAGATACTATTAGGAATCAAGAATTTTTTAAAAATGCAACATAGTAACATTTTCCTTTTAAATTTACCTTATAAGATAGTAATAATTACACGGTTATTATATATATCGTCTGGAAAGTGGAAAGAAAAGAGTTTTCCATGGACCGACATTCACAGTCACTATTAGTATTTGGCATATTTTCCTTTAGCCTTTTTCTCTTTGTATGGCTTTGGTTTTGCATAACAGTTGTAAGGCATTCTGCTTGCCTCTTAGTAAGGCTTTTTGGTCTTCAATTGAAGTTGACTGTGGTTATGTTCTGATAATGCATGTCTGTGATTTATTCTTTCCTTGTCATGAGGCTGAATAAGCAGTGATTTAGTTCTTGGCTTGAATACATTCTCTGTATGCTTTTAACATAAAACAGTGTTCAGATTAGAAAGTGAATGATCCTTAGAGCAAGGAAGTGTGATGTATGTTTTGCAGCCTCTTTAAAAAATATCAGATCTAAAAAAAAAAAAAATCAGAAGCGCAAAAATGGCTTGGGTGAAATGTGTATAACAACAATAAGACTTTAAATTTCCTGAAATGGGAGACAGTTTCTCAGTGGTCCTAGGACACATTATAGATGTCTAGAGATATTTACTAAATACTCAAAATCATTATTCCATATGTAACATGGTGGTCTCGAGGCAGAGAAAAATCTTTTTCTCTAGAGGCATAGAAGACAGGGGTGCAGTGCAGTAGCAACCCCAGAGATAGAAACTCTGGTTTTATTTTTGCTGCTCACTAGTCACCACCTCAGAGGCACCCTCCCTCAATGTCATCAGCAATAAAACGAGGCTGTTGAATGATATAATTTTAATGAGTTTTTATCCTCCTCTAACATTCAATTGACTCAATGAATTTATGATTCTGGACCAGATACTGAGAACATAAAGATCCAAAAGCCTAGCGGCTACCTTGACTCTTTATTTCCTTCCTCCCTCATATCTAGGTAGTGACCAAGCTTGACCTATTCCACTGTCTAGGTTAGGGGTGGCCATCCGGACACCTGTTTTCTTAAAGTTTTATTGGAACATAATTATGTTCATTAGTTTATATAGTTTATTGCCACTTTTGTACTACAGTGGCAGAGGTGGGTAGTTGTGATATGGTTTGCAAAGCTTTAAATGTTTATTATCTGGCCCTTTATAGAAAAAGATGGTCGACCCCTGATCTAAATGATTTGGAAATTCATCTTCACCCCTTCTTCCTCTGTCCTAACTTGGGCCTTCATCTCTTCTCACCTGCACAAACCAGGAGCCTCTAAACTTTAGTTTTTCTGACTCCAGTTTTGAGCCTCACAAATGTATTCTCTACAGAAACAGTACAATTTTGGGATTGTGATTGCCTTGCTCGGTAATTTTTAATTCCAGCTAATCATTAGAAGTACCTTATGCCTGGGCTCTTTGGAGTCCAACGAATTTGGTACTTTCCTGGTTGGCCAGGTAGGAGTGACTTTACAAATTCTCCATGGGAATCTAATGTGCGGCCAGGACAAACTTTTGACTGGGTTTAGATTCTGACTTTATTTTCTGGTTCTGTGGAATGAGGTCAGTCCTCTTCCCATTGTTGAAAGGAATAAAGGTGACGTATGTAAGGAATACAGCCTACTTCGGTGGTTACATAAATGGTAGTTTCTTATTAGTGATTCTTAACTTTACAGGAATATTCTATTAGATTCCTGGAGCTGCCATCACAGATTGGGTGACTTAAACAACAGAAATTTATTTTCTCACCGTTATGAAGGCTAAAAGTCTAAGATCAAGGTGTTGGCAGGGTTGGCTTCTCTCGAGACCACTCTCCTGGGCTCGTACGTTGCCTTTTTTCTTTACTTACGTATCCCTGCTGTCTCATCTCATCCTCTTTTCATAAGGACACCAGTCATACTGGATGAAGGCTCACCCTTATGGCCTTGCTTAACTTTAATTACCTCTTTCAAGACCCTGTCTCCAAATATAGTCACACTGGGGGGTTAAGACTTCAACATATGAATTTGGGAAGACACAATTTAGTTCATAATAAATATGCATTCTTTGATTTTTCTGATGAAAACTAGGATTCCTTGACCCAGAATAACTGTAGGGTCATACATACAGATTAAACCTTATATAAGGTTATAAGGCTTTGAAGCTCCCTGTTAAACAGGAACATCTGAAACAGATGAAAACATACCAGAGGGAAGGATATGTAGAAAAGAAGAGGGCGATCCATTCCCCTCGTTCAGTTGTTGACCAATTACTCCCCGAGGGCTGCCCATGCACCAGGCACTGCGCTACAGCTACGCTATGGCTGGCACAGGCAAGGCCCCTCCTTCTCGTGCCTTACAATTTTTGTCAGAGAGATGGACAGCAAACATGTACGCCCTTCAGCATTGGCATACCAAGTGTCACACAGAGAATTAAAACAGAAGGATGGGGGGGTGTTCGCCTGCTTAGAGTATGTGGTCAGGAATATCTCCACGGAGGAGATGCTTAAGTAGAAGCCTGAATAACAAGGAGTCAGCCATGCAGGTGGGGGCAGAGGGTTTACGGCTGACGAAATGCTCGTTACTCTGGTTTATTTTCGTATCAGCGGGCAGAGCTGCCTCCTCTCACACCAGCTGCTTACCAGGTTCAGCTCTACTGCCTACAGAGCAAGAATTTAGGATCCGCTCTGGGAGAGGCATGGCTGTTGTGGATGCTCCCCTATCCGTGGACGTCTGTGTCTTCTCCTGTCTCTGAAGTGCTTAGGCCATGCATTCAGAGGGGTAAGACCTGTCAATTCAAACGTCTGTTCCCCTAAGTTTTCTTTGACACCACTGGAATGTAGTCACGATAGTCTTGAGCTTGAATTAGAGTAACATTGTGAGGTGAGACGTCAGCATTGGTGGCGTGATAGATGTGTAAGCAGTAATTGTATAGTAGTACATGCTTCTGTAATAGTAGGCTGGACCTCTGAAAGATCTAGACAGACCCCCAACATCATATGGGTGGAACGGAGAGGACTTCCCCTGAAAGCTGCATCCTAAAGGTCTCCTGTGACTTAGGAGAGAGAGCAAACTTCTGCCATGGCTCACATGCTCCTTTGGGCCTGGCACCTGGCACACTCTCCAGTTCTCCTCTCTACTAAGGGAGGCTGGTCTTGATTCTAGACTTAAGCTGAGGCCGCTTCTGCTCTGTGGATCTCCTTCTGGGGTCCAGACTGAAGAAGCAGCCCCTCAGCATGCTCTTTCCCTGGTTACTACAAACCAAACTGTGCACACACATTTAACTCCTCTACTCATGTTTGTCTCCTCATATCCATTGGCCAAATTAACTCACATGGCCATGGTCAAAGTCAATGTATAGCGATACACACTGTGCTCCCAGGGGAGTAAATATTTGTATCAAACAGTAATTCGACCCACCCTAGCATGTAAAGTGCTTAGAACAGTATCTGTACAGGTCTGCCTAAACTATAAACAGTAATTCATTTTTAACAGACTGACCATAGGCAAGGGAAAAAGAAGGGAGTAGTTTGTTAGTAAGTGAACCAACAGAGCTGTGAGAGAATTGTTATCTAGGGCAAGACCTGACCATGTTAATAGACTTATGGGAGGAGCAAGTGGGCAGGTCGAAGATGGAAGACAGAGCAAAGCTTAAGGATTCAGCTGAAATTCAGAAACTAGAGTGTGACACTGTCTTCCTCATGACTTTTGGTATCAGCAGCCAAGGAGACAAATGGTTGGAGTGACAGACTTTGTCTGATCTGAGCTTTATGTACTTGATTCCCCCTCTTCTCCCTAATCTTAAGGAGAGATTTAGATGATAACAGTTGGTGTTTACAATGTTTTAATGGCTGTCATATTGAGCACTGACTAGAAGCATCTTTAGAAATAATTTATAACACCATAAAATGAATTGCTAATCTTTCAAAGTGTATCCTTTAGAATTGTTTTTGTTTTTCTGTACCAGCCAAGAAAATCTAGAACAGTGAGGAAACTGGTAAAATATTTCAGAAGGATTGTCTGATTTGAAAAGCTAAGTAGGATTATAAATCCTTCCTCAAATGCATAATCACACGCTCTTGCCATTTGCTTTGGTTTTGTTTCTTTAGTTGTCTTTCAGGGCAATGTGCGTACATGTGCGTAACTTGCCCACAGGGTACGGACCCACCCACCCGGGCTCAGCTGTAGGGACTCATTGGTGGGATCACAAGGACTATGGAATTTGTGTTGCCTTGTCATTATTTGGCCGCTATTGTGGGCCCAATATTTGAAGGGACACGGGGAGTGACATTGATAACTAACTACAATGGTTTGATTTATTGGGTAACTAATTTTGTGGCAGTTACTTAATAAAGTGGTGATGTGCTGCCCGGTGTAGTGCAGAGAAATGCTTTGGGAGTTCGGAAACTAGGTATGTGTTGTAATAAAGGCAAAGGTTTTAACGAGACTTGAACCGAATCTTGAAGGATGCTCACATACCAACCGATGCTTATTGTAATGATGTGTGTATCCATATCACTGAGACACAATGTTGACTAAGTTTCCCCTGCTTGAAACATTTGTTGATTTTCCAGTTGTTTAGTGAAAAAAAATTCCAAATTCCTTATCCTAATACCACAAGCCCCTCACTCTCACTGTAATCTGCTTCCAGAGTACCTTCCTGTCTCATCTCCATGTGTTTTTCCCCATGTGCTTTAGATTCCAAATGACTTGCTCTTCTTGTAAATGCTTCAAACTTTCCTAATTTGTATCTTCTTTTATTTTAATTTTTTTTGGGGGGGGCTTCTTTTTAAAATTTTTTTATTATATTTTCCCTTTACCATTTACCCCCCCCCGCATTTCCTCTTCTACTTCCCCCAACCCCGCAATCACCACACTGCTGTCCGTGTCCAGGAGTTCTTTCTCATTTTCTTTCTTTTTTGCTTGCATCCTTGTTCCCTTTGCTTGGACACCTGCTCCTGAAATATAGGTGCAAACTTGGTCTGCCCTCTTCTTCAAAATCCTATCTGAAATGCCAAGTTTCTATGAAAGTCTTACCTGGTTTTTTTGTTTTTGTTTTTGTTTTTGTTTTTTTTGGCAGAGGGGCTTGGAAGTAATCATTTACTTTCTCAATTTTTGGAACCTCTTGTCATTACTTTCTCAGTAGCTTTTATTTCCACCCTCTTGTGCCTTCCTATCATCTACAAATAGTTATTGGTCTACTTCTTTTTGGTCAGCAGCATAGAGGTATTTCTCAAACAAGTAATTTTTTAAAAAAATGAGGATACTGACAGTTTTCTATAGCCTTTATTTCGGTAACATTAAAACTTACATGAAGATACATACATATACTCACTATCTTATTTAATTTGATAAAAGATAAGCAGTTAACATAAAAAATGCAGGGAAGACAAAATCAGGTTTTTACACTGAAAACATATGGCTAATGGAAAACTCACAAGTCTATCTGTTTTTTTTTTCATTTTGCTGAGAACCAATAAAATTTTCATCACATTTCTCAGTCCTGGGCAGACTTTTGGGAGCCACTATTTTAGTAGACTGTGAGCTTTGCCAGAGATGACTTATCTCTGATTCTCAATTTATCTCTATCTCCCTTGAAGATAATCTTGGGTCTCTCAAAGCTTGTAACAAAGAACAAACTGATTTGTGACACAGAAGCAGCCAAGTTGGGGGGTAGAGTATTCATTCAGCGACCTGACAGTTGTCTAAAATAACTAAACAGGAAGGCTCTTGCTGTTACGTAAGCCTGTCTGAAGTGCGTATGAAAGTCAGAGCTAGAAACGTTACTGGGGCTGTTCATGTCCAGAGAGCAAACATTTTATAAGATCCCTCATTATGGTATCGTGTTTAATATTTTTCTTATCCCAACAGTGTAGATATAGTTTATTCAGGTCACTAAAAACAGTGAAGCAAACATAGAAAAGAAAATTTCTGATATCCAATTCTTGTTGTTTTCAGTTCTTTTTCAAGTAACATTGGGGAGAAAGACTGATTTTTCATATGTGTGCTCTCCAGTAGACCTTCCTGCGGTGGCGGGTGTCCAGGAATCTGCACTGACCGTGCGGCAGTCACTGCCACGGGCGGCTGCTGAGCGGTCGCTATGTGACTGCTGCAACTGAGGGACTAAATGTCCAACTGTATTTAAATATCATGAAAAAAATAAATATCAAGAACTTAAATTAAAATAGACATCCAAGTGCATATATTGGCTCCCACATTAGACAATGCGGCTTCAAAAGAGCCACCAAGGGGCATGGAGGACTAGTGGCCTGCAATCTGTGATGCCAACTTGGATGGTATCTTATCAATTTTCTTAGTAAATTTGGAAAATTAAAAAAAGGACTATTTTTTTCCTCATTAAGGAATCTTGAGCGAATTATATACCTATCAGTGGCTCCATTGAACTTTGAGCTGCTTTTTGTCCATGAATTAAGATCTATTTTCTCCATTATGTTATAGCTCCTCTTTTAGGTACTATGATCTTTGATTTTTATATATATACACATATGTATATATTACACACCATGTACATTTGTAAATATCAAGTGAAACAAGGAATGAGGCATATTAAACTTGAGCGATCCTTTAGTCTGAGGAACATTTACTATAAATGGAAAGAATGAGCACACAAAATAGCCCATGGAGATGACCTTGCAACACACACACACACACACACACACGGGGGATGCTCCTGTTCATCACATCAAACCGGAAGCTAATAGCCTTTTTCATGTTTCTGTGATGTGACAGATACTTACGTTTCTGCTTGAAAGAGTATTTTTTTTTCCAGTTATCAGGATAACCCTTTCAAGAGAATTTTAAGCTTCTCCCTTTTTTTCCTCTGATGCCTTTATCTGACCTTTTGCCCCCCTCCAGCTTCCCCAGCCGCACTGCCCAGTCACGTCTTTCTTTTTTCAGAGGAGCTGTCTGTGCGTACGCACGCTGAGATGTGTATGCCAAGGGTCAGGGCATTTGCTTTTGAAGACATCAGTATCATTAAGATGATATTCACAAGAACAAAGGAAGAAATACATATAGCAATGGTTACCATTTCTTGCATATTTACTCCATGCCAGTCATTGATTAAGGACTTTAAGTACATTTTCATTTAATTCTTCTGAAGCTTTATAAAAAAGTTATGATTATTCTGATTTTGCAGGTAAGACAACCCTAACCTAAAGCTAAGTAATTTGCCCAAGGCCACACAGCTAGTTGGTGGTAGAACCAGATTTGTTAACTCCAAAGCCCTTGAGTTTACCAACCAAACAATGATTTAAGATATAGAGGGGAAAAAACCTTATTCCCTTGAGTGGCGTGGCTTGGTGGGAACAACATGGAATGTGAGGTGAAATAATTCTTGTTGTCATTTCCCCTTTGCCATGTTCATGGTGGCCTTAAACAAGGTGCTCAGCATCTCTAAGTCTTTATCTCCTAACATCTAATTTCCTCCTTCTAATATCTAATATCCTAGTGATAGAGCATGAAAGGTCCTCCATGTGTGTATCTGCCTCCCTTCCTGAAATACCAGGTTGTCATGTGTAAATTCTTTCTTAACTGAGTCACCTTTGTTTTATTTAGTTGGTTTGACAGAATGCAGTCAGTAAGAAGGGTGTTCAAGGTGCAGGTATTTGCCTCTATCTCTATTTTAACCTCATTCCTCAGTTCTCACCAAGGTTGTTTATGTATTTGGAATGCTATTCGTTTTTTCCTCTGGCTTTATTTATTTTTATTTTTTTAACTGAATTTCACTTTAGTTTGCTTTTCTCTCTTGGGTTGCCACT